AATAAAATTGGCTAATCCGATACTCCGCGGTGAAAGGATTAGTTTCAAGTGAGGCAACTGTTGCTGCACATTGATAGTCTTTCACTTTTTCCTACTTTTGTTGTTTTAAATGAAAATTACCATATGCGAAAAGACTAGATCAAGATAATACATCAAATTCATATAGATGTAGAAATATATAGCACCTACCTCTAACATAGCGCTCGATATATGGTGCACATATTCATAGTGTCTTCCATATGACTTTTTCACTGAATCAATGAAAATGCCAAAAGAATTCATGTTTTCTTACGTTAATGAGGAAGTAGTCTATGCTCAGGGTGCATTTGAATGACTTGATTGAAAAACCAGCACAACTCTGTTTTGAGTCGTTTCGATTCTTTCTCGCATATATTTTCTTGGCTCAAAAAAACGGCAACGAAGATGTTCATTAAGTTTAGGTTAAAACCTGGGTCCTTTTTTCAAATTCTGATTACAGCGAGCTCATCTAGAGACTATCACCTGTCGATAACCGCAAAAATCATAGGAATCGGCCCAGTAGATTGCTCAAAGGAACTGTGAAAAAAAATTTGCATTGTTTAAATAGGAGAATTTGCAACTTTACCACGTAATATAAAGAAGCCATCGTATTCATATACCTTCATATTTTACCTACCTTTTAAATACCTTCATATTTTCAAAATCTAAATATAGCGGGCTCATTTAGAGACAATTGCCAGTCGATAGCCGCAAAAATCATGAAAATCGGCTCCGTAGAAGGCTGGAACTAACAATAAGCGTTACTAGATACCTATGCAAATTTAGGAGGTCTCGGAGCATATAGTAAAGAATTCCTTTCGAATCTCCCCCCCCCCCTCCCACCGTTGCAGAGCCGGAGGTGTGGTTTGAAACGTAGAGTGAGTTCAGACACTTACATGCATGTAGGATGAGGCTGGTTTGAGCTTTGAAGCGATGGTTCTCACTCAAAAGCAACATTTTTACGGCAACTTATTCACACTTGAGTGACCGATATGAACGGAACAATAAGTGAGACCTCCTTTCTCTCCGTCCATCCGGGGATACGCGCGTCACGTGCTGAAAGTGGAATAACGGCTCGGAGAGTTTAACCTTATTTTTACGTCACGCCGGAAGGTTGAGGTTAATATCACTGCTCAACTGAGTGAGAGCATTCTGGTTGGCTGCCGTTCGTTGGAGGGTGGGCTTTAGGAGACACGCAAAGCACAATCAGTCGAAAGGAAAAGTGAAACCTTAAATAGCATGCACGCGAGAGAGGAAGAGAAGGCTCCACTGTCGATCAAGAATAGAAGATGACAATGTGGAGGCTCGGGCAAAAAAAGCTGAGTTCCAATGCTGCCAAGTTTTGACCTGCAACGACCAAGAGTTGCACTACTGCAGGGCTGCAAAAACTTTTGCACCAGCGGATCGCTATCAGTCGCGTGCGGAAATGGAAAAACCCATAAAACGGGTTTTAAAAATGGGAGGGCTAGAGCTTATTAGAGCAAAAATCTCCCGTATTATTGCAGTATTTGTATTCCTCATGCAAACCTATCATTGAAATCGCGGCAATGGAGAATTTGCAGGTGTCTGAAATTTGATGAAATTCGTGTTTGAGTGGAAACTACTGAGTGAGCTGAACACGATGATACCATTGGTTCACGAATTGAACAATTATTGGAGAAGATATGAAAAAATGATCGAATCTGCTAAAATACGTGTGGTTAAATGGGAAATTACGTCACTAGGCGGTGCATATCCTTTGCTATTTTCCTCCATTTAAATTTATTTTTAAACTATTTGCCATATTAGAAAAAAAGTACAAAAAATACTGTGAAATCAGCTCTTTAAACACTTCCAGATAAAGCAAAAAAAATTTGCATGCAAATTCTCCATTATTACATAAAGTGTAAAACAAAATTGAAGCTCTCAGTTTAAAAACGACCCATCTCGGGAGGATAAAATTTTTCAGGAGACGATAAACGTTTCGCAATAGCCAGAAATGGAATGTTTCTACGCGAAAAAATGGACTTCGTAAAAAACTAGAGTAAGTAAACTGAGAGGTTCAATTGTCAGCACCTTGAAAAGTTTGAGCGGATGAAGAGGTTTTCAAAATGAGAAGGCCAATTTGAAAAATGGGAGGACGGAGAACTCTCTGCATCTGTATGCACCACAGAATTGAAAGTGATATAATTCGTCATCATGAGAGATATCCTGGACTTGGATATATCCTGGATATCTTGGTTTTCTCCCCAAATTGAAAGGTATAGGATGATGAAACAGGTCCAGTACGGTCTATAGCAAAGAAAGTTAAATTGAACTGCCGGCAACAACCGATGTTTGGTCGAAGGCCTGACATTTCACCCAACTTTGTTTGATCCAAATTTTTCAATGTCCATTTATAAACTTAGTCTAATAGTTTTTTGTTTGCAATGCGCTATGAACCAATTGTTTACTTATTCCAGTTATATAAGCAATGATATAGGTGCTGAGATTTTGCCAAATAATGGAATGTTACCCTTGGATGCCCAAGCCGGGTCAAAGTGACCCAAGGATCGCTGAAAACACGTACTCCGCAGGTTCTGGGGCTGGTACATCCGAACTGAGATGTAGGTCTACAAATACATCTTTTAAAAAAAAATAAGACATCAAATTGAAAAAAAGTACAAAACCAAAAATCAACACAACCGAAGATAGGAGAGACGTTTTTGGGTCTGGTTTTTATAAGTTCTGTCCCGAATCAGAGCGACAATCCATCGGCAGCATATAGCGGAGCATCGCGAGCTCACGCCTCGTGCCATAGCGCCTTCAATTTTGCAAACGCAACACGGACATCCATCAAGCACGAATAGTTGTATCCCTGCGCCGTCATCAACGCGCGACCTTTCCCTTGCTCTATTTCCATGTTGTGTTGGTTCCCTCTGTCTTATTTGTAGTGGTTTTTTAGGGGCTACGTTAGCAAAACAGCCGAAGATAGGAGAGATGTAATCGGACCTTTTTTTTGCCTTTTCTCCCGAATTGAGTGATATCTCATTGACGGCATAGAGCGAAGCATTGCGATTTCTTGCATCGCGCCTTCAATTTTACAGATACAACACGGACATCCATCAAGCACGAATAGTTGTATCTCTGCGCCGTTATCAAAGCGAGTCCTTTCTCTAACTCTATTTCCATGTTGTGTCGGTTCCGTTTGTCTTATTTATAGAGGGGCTTATAGGGTGAAGTGAGCAACACAGCCTAAGTACGCCTTGGATTAAATTAGTTGGCCAGATGAAGTATTGGGTGAAAAAAATTAGATCAAGTGTCTTGCCACCGGTTGGCCTGCTGTTTTGCTGGAAAATTCGATCAGGAAAATATCGATTACATAAAGTAAAATTTTCCAACTTCTGTTGGGTCCAAAATGTGGATCACGCTATGTAAGTTTAAATGATCATATTTAGGTAGAATGAGCCTATTCAAATGGAAAATTTTAGGAATTTTAGGGAATTGAATTTTAGGTATGAAGTTTGGTTGCCGATTCGGGTCAACTTTGGTAGTCACAGAGACGGATCCAGCAGTTTGGCAACACCGGATTTCCTCCATTTAAACCTATGCTAAATAATCGATTCATGTCGGGTCACCTGAACCGCAATAATCGATAAATTTCCATGGGTTTAAATGGAGAAAATACAATGTTGCCAATTTGCTGAATCCGCCAATGGGTAGTCAAAGGTAGCCAAAAAAGGATAGCTAAGGGCTTTCCCAAAGTTCTAATGTGGAGATATTCCTCTTGTATAATGTCATTTCAATTAAAAATTACGTTCCAAAAATGCAGTCTCTCTGGACGGAAGGCTAGAAACTCCTTTCACTTGATGGATTTTGAGTACTAAACAGCCCAACATAGAATTGCAGGACTTGACACTAATCCGGACATGGCTGGTGCCTACCAAAAATCTGGGTGATGACATTACACTTACCTCTATTTATATATGAGCACTAGACTGTGTTTGGAAGTTAACATTGAAAGGGTCGGAAAATTTGCAGGTGTATGCTGCCCTACGAAGGGAAAACGCCGTAAGTACATTCAAGAGTTGCCAAATTTCTTTCACTGAAATGTCTATTTTTGAGAGAATTTATGAATATTTTTCCCCGAAAATTTTCAGGAACCTTGGGTGAAATTGCGAGCAAAATTATCTGAAAAAATTGGAAGAAAAATATTCATAAGTTTACCGGGTAAGTCGTGTTTTATCAAAGGAAAGGCAACGCCTAATGGTCCTTACGGCGTTTTTCCTTAGCACAGCAGTGTGAAATTTTTTGAAATTCATCTTTAAGGTGGAGCTGAGCACGAACACAGCCTTGAAGCCTACATTGAATAATTATCGCGGAAAAGATGATAGAAAACCCTAATCTGCTGAAAAAAAATACGTGTTTAAATGAGAAATGCCGCCAGATGACGTCACACGGTGGCACATGTTCCCACTTTTAAATCTATTTTCCTACAATTTCCCATCTCAGAAAAAAATTATGAAAATTACTGCGGACTCAGCTCATTGAGAACTGTCAGATGAAGCAATAAAAAATGTTCGTGCAAATTCTCTACTGAATGCTTGCATAAGATACTATTACTTATCAATTTTATGAGGAAATCTTTTTCATTTTCTTTATTCTTCAGTACCAAGCGTTCTTTCAAAATTGAAATGCTATCCAGTTGATCTGTCCCTTCCTGGGAGAAGAGAGAATCGCCGAAATGTGTGATATACGACGACTAAAATAGATAAGTATTTGGCTAATTTTACCATCCTTATGTAGAACGAAGGGGTTGGAAGGGGAGAGTCGTTGCTGGGCACATTGATAGAAAAAGAGGCGGAAGAGAGGGGGGTTTGATTCGCGAAGCTGGAAACTAGGACGGTGTACCTTGATATCGGATACCTAATTAATAGCATCACCTATGTAGCAAACCCGGCGATCTCTAATCGTATTAGACTGTGATTTGGACATGCAAGTAGCCTGATAAAATTGTTCGTAACGGGGCTCTCGCCTGCTATTAGCAGCGGACCGCCGCCCGAGCTGTACCTTTTATTTTTATTTTCCATCTTTTAGTTTCCGTTTTCTTCCCCGACCACGGACGACTATCCGTTTTAGTTTTTGAATTTCGAAAACGCAGTTCGGATAGCGCCGTTTTTAACCCCTACCAGTTCCCCCAGTTTGCGTCCCAAAATCCAAGTTCGGATAGGTTCGATGTCGCCCAGAAAACCCCTCCGTGAATTTTCGTGACTTGTTTGATATTTAAACAGTTTCAAGAGAAGACGAGGTCGCGACTGGCTCAATCATGAATTCTTCCTATGTTTCTGGTGAACCGTACGCACTCCCATATAAGTAAGTTGGTGCCTTCATTTCTGAGTGATACCATTTGTGTGCGCGAGGAGTTCAAACGCAGTGCCAATATCGCTGCAGAGACTCGCTCGAACACTGATGCTCGGTTCTCTTGATTTCGAATCTCGAAAAACCGATATTGAACTGAAATTTTACCCTTCGATAAATATTAAAAATAAATGGCAATGGCGTTATAATTTTCGTTTGAACCCCCACCCCCGGAAAACAAGAAATATCTGCAATAAAAAATTATTAGTCTTTCATTCTCTCTTTCATTTCCGTGTTAGTTACTATGACTGTAAAAGATATGTCAAAAAATTGACCCAACTTAACAAATTAACTGCTTTAATTGCCAATTTACAAACTCTATGATGGACTCTTAGGCAGATTTCTTCGTAAAAAGTTCATAAAAAATTAAAATAAATCAAAAGTTAGAACTACCTTTGACCTTATTTTAAGTTGAATCTCTTTTGTGTATTTCTTTTGTGGTTGGAAAATTCTAACCCCTTTAAGTGTATTATCAAAAGGAAAGAAAGAAAAATTCAAACAATCTACACTATTCTGTGTGTCAATTGAGTCAACAGAACTAAGAGCCCGGTCCCGCTATGCTGAATTCTAACTACGTGCTTTGTTCATCGCATAAATAAAAAGAAATCCATTGAACGGTGACCTAATTTTGGGGCAAAATGATTCTTCGTCAATCTAGGTTTTTATAACTCTCAGTAAAAAAAAAAATAAAAATAAAACTCACTCAGTGATTTAATAAAATGAGGTGGATAAATGTAAGGTAAAATTTATTGAAAATAACCAGCAATTGACGTTTATGATTCATAGTCGGATAAATCTTAAAATAAAAAAGAAATTCAATCATTTTCCCTTGGTTGCTGTCAGCTCATCCGCAGAATATAAAAAATAAAAAATCAGGCACACATATAAATCCTAATTAAAAAAGTTGTTTTTACTTCAGTTTTAATATAATTTAAACTTTAAAATCACTGTTGTTACTCGTAAGTGATTTTTCTGCAAGCTGCATTGAAAATTTAAAATTCAATAGTTTCGATCCAGGTGTTTTATTTATAGAAATGCGTGAGATTTCGCCAATTTTTCGTGAAAACTCTTATTTCTGCCAATGAAATTTTGCCCTTTTTGTCTTTTGCACCGAGGAAGTATTTAAGCAGTAAAGAAAAATTAAGGGATAACGTTGAGCAGACCTTATGCTTTCCTCTACAGGTATTTTCTTCTTATTTTGAGCGGAAAGATAGACGTTCATGATTGCAAAATCACGGTAATGCGATCGGGGAAAAAATTCAGTTTTTTCGTTCTCATATTTTTACATATAAGAAAAACTCACAAACTACATTCTAATTTGTGGATATTTTGTATTCACTTGATATATTTAGTCTCATTAGCCAGGAACTTGGCTGCACTGACCAAACTCACGAGACTGTCATAGTAAGAAGCATATTAGCTCCTACAAGAGTGCAGGAATACTTCACGCATTGCGCCCAAACACAGTGCGGTCGCTGGTCGGCTCGAAAAGGAAATGGGTATATTTCTGGGAGCAAAGGTGGTTAATATCTCTTAAATTAAGAAAATTATTTCATTTCAATCAAGAAATACTTCGTATGATTTTTACAGAATTTACTTTTGGCCATTCATATTTTGATTGTCCTACAAAAAATGTCGATCATTCTCCCAAAAAACGCGGTGTCATGAATAAAAATCCGTAGTAAAAAGTCTTACAAGGAGATTTTTGAACGCAATTATTTTTCATCGTACCTACTTGAAGCAATTTGATTTAATATTTTGAACTAGGTATGAATCCCTCAATAATATCGGGTGTATACGGCTATTTTTTACTGGCTATGGGAATAGGGAACTTAAAGAGAAAAAGACTAAATTTGAGCAAATATATACTTCTGCTAAGAGAGGTTAATTCCTCGCCATTTTCTGGAGAGAGCCCTCAAAAATTCTAGAGATACTTTTTGACAAAGCGTTTCAGAATTTGAATTTAAAAAATCGCGATTTCCAGGGAAATGGCAAGAAAAACAAGCGGGACACGCCATTTGACCTTGTCCATTTTAAAGTCTTATAACTTTATTAAGTGTTATAGGTAATGCTGACGCAATATTCTTGAGAGAATCATGCGTTCAATTTCATGAAGAACGACAAATCCATCATTTCGACCAGAATTGTGTTTCTTTTTTTGCTCTCCTGATAAATTGGACCTTCTGGGGGTTTGGCCGCGTAGCGGCCAACGGGCGTACCCCCTAGTTTTACTATTCTCTGGCGCTTCTGTGTATTTAATGTTAACTTCATTTCTATTTTAAATTGATATATCTAACTTAAAATATTATATCTTATCTTATTTCCGCAGATTTGATGCCCGAGACGGTGGTGTGAGTTCAGGTGGAGGAGATGGTCTTATGCTTGGCTGGAACGTCCCGCCGGAACACATGGACATGGTCCACCCTCATTGGCGAGCCTTCCCCAACATACCCGAAATGTGGCATCTCATGCTCGGCGCAATATATTTTATCCTCATGATAGTCTCTACTTTAGGAAATGGAATAGTTATTTACTTATTTTTCACGTGAGTCGTATCCTATTTTTCATTCTCGAACTATAATCGCGGGAGGATGCGACAAAAGTCGGCTTAATTGTATTTCATGTTGCTTGATGCTCTCTCGTGTATTATTATTTTAACTTTAAACTGAGGTACACACTTACATAAAGCTTTGAAACTTTCACTGAATTTTCCTCAAACTATCAGGAGTATACCTACAAAATTCAAGTCAGAATCTTTGCTCAGTTTGCTGGTAATAAACGAAATATGAGAACAAATTAGACAACGTCTGCTGTAGTTAGGACGATACTGATCAATTCGTCTCATCGATATTCGATATAGGCACTTTTATGTTTTTACTCCCCATTAATAATTATTTTTCAAAAGAACTGCAGTTTTTTGTCCACCAAAGAAAAGAACAAGTAAAAGAAAATGAGGGAAACAAGAATCTTCGCGCAATGCTGAAAAATGCTGGTTAATGAAAATATCATTAAAATATGACTGCACCTTGTTCACCGAAAACTCAGAATTCAAGAAGGGAGCCAAAAGAAGCCGTTCACAATCAGTCAGTGTATTTCCATAAAATTTAGTTACGTTTAATCTTGTAAAATTCGGTTCCATTTGGACGAATTTCTATCAAACGGAACGATGTGCATTATGACGTAAGCCCTGTTATGCATATATTCTTACGGGTCTCAGGGCTCATGTCTGTATGCACATAGTTCCGTTTGATAGGAATACGTCCATTTATTAAAAGATGTTATTATTTTTAGAGGTCCTTCAAAAAAATATTGTGATATTAGAACACATTCTTGCGTGCATTGTTGATATTCTCACAAAGTTCGTTTATGACCGAGGATCTCTCCTTTTTATTTTCACAGAACAAAATCCCTACGAACTCCGTCAAATTTATTTATATCAAATCAAGCCGTTTTAGATTTATTCATGATGTTGAATATGCCTCACTTAGTGATAAATGCATTTTACAAACGGATGACCGGCTGGGAGGACGGCTGTGATTTATTCGGCCTCCTTGGGTCCATCTCTGGTATCGGATCCGCCATGAACAACGCCATGATAGCCTACGATAGGTACAGGTAAGTACTGTCAACCACGACCAAAAATATTCAATTTTCTAGACACACCAATCCAAAAAATTTTCCATGACAAACATCTGAGATTGCACTGGAAAAAAAAAAAAACACATTGGATCTAGAGTCCGGACTCTTAAAAACATCGACAAGAAAAAATACTCTTGATTCAATCGGATTTTTGCTTAAATCAAGAACCAAGCCTCTTAATTTGAGGGGATTTCCTTTTGATTAAACAAAAATCTGATTGAATCAAGAGTATTTTTTCTTGTCAATGTTTTCAAGAGTCTGCCCTCTAGACTCTAGATCCAATGTGGGTTTTTTTTCCAGTGTGCGTTATTAGCAAAATCGTTCACATATTTTCCTCAAGATTTCCCAAAAAATTCAGAAAAATTTCGATACAAAAAGTCGCTACTAAATTAAACAAAAACAAAAAATTCAAATCGTCAAGTGAAAATTGTATACGTTGAAAGGTAATTCAATAGTAGTTCTGTCACCGAAACTTTTAGATAGGCAAAGAATACGAAAAATCATAGAAAATTCCTGAAATAAAAATGAATGCCAATGATCTCATCTGTGTGTTATCAGAACGATCGCATTTCCTCTCGACGGTCGTCTGGGAATGGGAAAAACCGTGATAATTGTAGCGTTCGTATGGCTCTACTCCATGCCTTTCTCCATTCTACCTCTTCTTCGAATCGGCAGCAAATACGCGCCAGGTAAGCCCATTAACATGTTTAAACCCTTTGTATGTTTATTTACCACCCTGCAACCACGAAAGAGTCACTCATGTCTTGCAAAATTGGACGTATTTCTGTCAAACGGAACTAAGCACCAATTTGAGTTCCTTTTGAGGAATTTAGAATCCCGGATAGCGCGTTCTGTCAAACGGAACTAAGCGCCATGGAAAAGCATTGAGAGTATAGGAACGAATGAGCCCGACGCCCGGTTCCGCTGCCAATCCAAGCCCCCCCTCAACCTTCCTACCCGATGGCGCTTAGTTCCGTTTGACCGAGATGCGTCCAATTTATCGATGTATTTAGTTTAATGAGTGATAGGAAGGACTATCAGTGGCATTTTAGACGCTTTATAATTTTCACCTTTCAATATTTTCATATCCATGTGAATCACAAAACTTGCTGATTGTGGACGTATTTCTATCAAACGGAACTATGTGCATTCGGACATGAGCCCTGAGACCCATAAGAATATGGGCATAACAGGGCTTACGTCATAATGCACACAGTTCCGTTTGATAGAAATCCGTCCGATTATGTGTTGGTTGCGCCAGTCACAAAATCATGTTTTGATTATTTTAGAGTTTTGAATCGTGCTTAGATCAGCAAAAAATAACAAGATCTGTCCGAACACCATGTTTTCTCGCCCAATATTAACGGAGATGTCTCCATTGAAAAGAAACAAAGCTTAATCCATCGCAGTAGTGCGTACCTGACGTACCACGCTTTCTCTCAGCTTTGATCCATCCCAGGATTCCCAGGTCAATCCCAAGTCATTTTTATTCCTCTGCAAACTAAAAGGATTATTCTTTTTTTTCCTGTTCCAGAGGGATTCTTAACGACGTGCTCCTTCGACTACCTCACCGAAACAGAAGAAGTTCGATACTTTATGCTTGCAATTTTCATCTGGTCGTATGTCATGCCGATGATGTGCATCATAGTATTCTACTCACAACTGCTAGGCCATGTTCGGCAGCACGAAAAAATGCTTCGCGATCAGGTTAATCTTTTCATCCTTTTCAAACGGCATTTTAAAGTTCTCTGATTAGAAAAGATTCCGTTGTTCTGTACATAAAATTTCCTTTTATATTTCTTTTTCTCAAGAAAAAAAATGAAAACAACAGGTGACACCAAATTGTGATCAATTATAGGAAAAACATATATTTATTATTTGATAAAGTAGTTTTAGAGGCTCTCTTTTAGAGAAAACAATAATGTGGCATACCCGAGTAAACATTACGATAAAACTGTCAGGTATTGTAAGTTATTCTCTTTCAGAGTATAACCCAACATTAGCAAAAAAAAAAAAAAACTGTCAAACACCTCAAATGCCAGTTCGTGGACTACCGCATCAAGACTTAAAATTTGTAGGACCATGTATGTCTATCTATACATATCGATACATGTGCCTACATAACCGATGTAAAAATTTCCAAGGTACCGATCTCCTTAATCATGCAAAATATCTTAGGTCCAAAATTATTGAGGCAAAAAATCCATAAGTCTGCATATGGAAAAAAACACGAAGGATTTTTAGGCCCCCGATCAATATAATCGATTCGCCCATGTTTGATGTACTCATTTTCGATAGCCTGACTCTTATCCTTCATATAAAGTCGATTGACGCTCGTTCATAATCCATTTGTCAATAATTCCCCCCCGCCCCCCCCCAAAAAAAATAAATATATAATAATACAAAGAAGAAGAAAAAAGTATAAACTTTAAAGATTCGACATTTTTTAAACACCCTTTTTGAGCCGAATGATATTTTTATTTCCAGGCGAAAAAAATGAACGTGAAATCTTTGCAAAGTAATCAAGACGCGCAACAAAAATCAGTGGAGATCCGGATCGCCAAGGTTGCCATGACAATTGTCTTCCTATTCATTTGTTCGTGGACGCCTTACGCTATCGTGGCCTTAGTCGGTGCCTTTGGAGACAGGTAAGTTGACATTGTTTAATGTATAGACGCATTCAGTGATGACGTCACGGAGCGATATTGTTGGGTCGATATCTCGAAAGTCGAAATGTGCCCCTACAAACAAACATAGCCTCCAAAACGAACAATTGATGAAAGAATGCTAAAACTAGCCTAAAACTAAAACATTAATCCGTGGGATTGTAAAATTATGAAAGCTAGTCATTTTCCAAAACGTTTGAGACCACATTCACAAGAATTGATAATAACTATAATAAGCTCGTGACATAATACTTAGTCTTCGAGCGAACGTTGTGTTCGTTTGTTGGGGCACATTTCGACTTTCGATATATTGAAACTGTATCGAGATGTGACGTCACACTAAATGTGTCTATTATCCTCTCTATTCTGATACAATCATTTTTAAGACGCTCGATGGATGGGGTGAGGAAGGAGAGTAAGACGGCCCAAAAGTCCAATTCCAAAGGAAGAATCAAAATCCAGAGTAAGGAAAAAGTCATCAACAATATTGTTTGGCGGGAAATTTTTCCGTGAAACATCGTTTTGTTATTCAATTGAAATTATTTGCTCATTAACCACGGGCGATTTCGAAGATTTCGCTGGCCTCGAAGCGAGCTTTTGGGGCGCGCAGCGCCCCGGGGGTTGGGCCGCGTAGAGGCCAGAGGGCGGACCCCCTAGTTTCTTTCCACTCGTGTACATTTTCGATTCCATCTTTAAACAGAGGCGATATATTTTAGAGACCTCGCAGTTCACCACCTTGTTTTACCTCGCGCTGCTATTTCCCACATAGTGCAAAAGTTACTTCCGGCAATCAACGCTCAAATTCGCCTGATGATAACTGATGACCAAAGAGTTGTGCTCAACTCATCAGGAGCCATCATCAGCATCATCAGCTCAGCATTCCTCATTTGGGCAAATTTTATACTCAATTACCAAGTTACTCATAAGTTATTGGGCAAAAAGTAGAGTCGATCAACTTAACTTTATTTTTGCCTCTACCTTTCAAATTGCTTAAATTATCAGCACGGGATCTCTAAACCATCTGATTGCTCACCACCACTCTTGCAACCACTCTTTACTCACTTAGTATATTCCGTCTGTAAAGCAATTCAATCGGAAGCAAAACAAGGCCAACGCAATTGTCGTAATGTTGATTCCAACGCGTTGATGCAACTAAACGTGCTCAATGGATGCGCGTGTGGCATACCCTCATAATTGAAGGCGCTTTTGCCTCCTGCTCACTCACAACGATCCAACGTGACGGAACGACGACGTGTTGCTGGCGATACAACTATCCTGCTAAGAGCACGAGCACAGTATGTCTGGGGAAATAAGTGTGTTCACCTATGTGTCTCATTTTAATATCTTATTCTGCGCTTTTGAAGGAGCATAAGCGTAGACATATCGACGGTGTAAGTCGGCAATCACATACATAACTCGATTTTTGGCGGTTTTGAGTTAGCTGCAGAAATGAAGTGTAGAAGATGCCCTTTACCTGCTATCAAAATATTTCAGTCGAAAAAAATCTGGAAGTCACCGAAAAACGTAGAACTCAAAACACATATCTCGGCGTTAATTCCAACAACACATAACTCGTGCCGTCGCGCCGCATTTTTACACAACGCGCGCTCTCCCGGGAAGAACCGTGAGCAGTTTAGGAGGGAAAATTAAACGTTAGTACGTCACGGAATCTTCAAACAACAAAAATATTATTATTGTTTTAACATCTAACATCTAATCCGACGGATAACTGAGTAGTCGTCCGCTTATTTTTATCTTCATTTCATTTTAATTCGTAATTCGACGGCGTAAGTCCGCAATCACATAATTATCTCGTTCACGCCGGTGTCTGAAAATCTCCGCTTCTACGACACATTTGACATCATTCCTTGCAGTTTATACAGAATTTTCTTTGCATAGAGAAGAAAACTCACGGCAGTTTTAAAGAATTTCCGTTGAGTAGTTTTCCGTTTAAAAAATGAAGTGTGACGGGAAGTCTGCGACGTCTTAAACCGAGTTATGTGATTGCCGACTTACGCCGTCGAATCGTTTTCCAGTGTCATTCTAAAGATTCGCTATCAATTAAAGTTTGTTAAAAGGAACTTTAGGCTACTTTTAAAGTGAGAGGAGTCTTATTCAGTCTTTATTCGGTCAACATCGGCAAAGAATAGGTTTCAATCAGTAATTCGCCAATCACGTATCTTGGAATTCAGTGTTGGACCTTACTTCCACAAACACATGACTCGGTTTTTCGGTCATTTCTCCTGACAGACGAGAATATTATTCAAAATGATGATAGAGTCTTACAAAGCATCTTATCCTTGCTGTCTCTAAGAATTTTTTCCCCTCTACCTTCAAAGATGAGAAATGTAGAGAGTTTTTTCCCTCTCCTGAAAAATCGTGTTTTCCGAGTTATGTGATTGCCGACTTGCCGCCCTTTTCCCGTAGCGCGCAAGTGTTGCACATTCCGATGCGCCCTGTTCCGACACACAAAATCGAGACGGTTGTCGCATTCGGGTGTGCGCTTGACGAGGTGCGTGCCTCGGCATGGCGCGCCTTCAAATTTGAATGATACCTCGAGCACCTCTCCGGAGTTGGTTTAGTTGCGTGACCTAACCTAACCCAATATGGATTGAACATAGCGCTATTTCTGTCGCATTCAGATGTGCGCTCGTCGAGGTCCTCGTCGGTTGAGGTTCACGGTCCTAAATATTTTAGATTGTATACATTATCATTTATTTTTTCCAACGCTTCTTCTGAGAGTTTATTATTGTTAATTTTAGGTAAATATAATTTTCGCGTTACATTTTTAACAAGAACTGAAGACAAGATAGCTTCTCCATACTGTGCGTCAACCCTCTCTATTTTTAAGAGAGGGTATGACGAATTTTTTTTCAGCTACTTTCCGGATATTTGGCCGGATATTTCTTTATAAATGGGATTAAATTCTTCCATTACTCTGTAACAAAAAACACCGTCGATATACTAAAAAAAATTTAATATTAATGTGTGAAAAACAAAGTTAAACGCGAGAGTTAAAAGTAAAGCATGTCGACGACGAAGCTGTATAAAGCGTTTCTCGATTGCAGTGTTTCAAAATCATTTACAACATATTCGCATTAAGTATACCATGTTCATAGAGTTGTAAAGTTCCATATTGAAAAACATTCTTGAATTTTTAAGCGGACACGACATTTGTCAAGGGTCATGTGTTAAAAATCCTGCCTCCTAATTGTTTCAATAATTTTTTTTCAGAACTGTCCTAACACCGATAGCTTCAATGATTCCTGCGGTTTCAGCCAAAATTGTTTCGTGTATAGACCCTTGGATTTATGCCATTAACCATCCCAAATTCAGGTAAACTAAACGCTCTGTCGTAATGTCGATTCCAACGCTAGGAACGCACTTTTGCGATCTGGGAAAATCTAGGCAACTCGATTCTATGATGAAGTTTTTGGTGTCATTGATTAACCTGCTCTGCTTCTCTTCATATTCAACTCCTTCATGGGAGAGAAAAAAAAATATTATTCAAACTTATCAAAAGAATTAAAATGTCTTAATCATTTTTAAAAGCTTAAAACTAATTCAAATTTGCGTTCCTTTTCTCAATTCTTTTCCTCGTCTGTTACCTTAACAGCAGCAAAAAAACAATTTTAGGAAGAAATTTGCAAATTATCTAAGAGCTTCTGGTAGTGGTACACTTTATTTTTCAGGGAAACCTTGTCAGTAATTTTATATAGTAAAATTAAAGTGAAAAAGAGTTTTAACAAAGTCTTGATACATATTCCTTAATTTTTGACACCTACTCGTAAAATTTCAGGGGAAAAAATATTGCAAAAACTCTTAAAAAATTAGTAGCTTTTACATTAAGACACTTTTCTCATAAATTTTATCGAACATTAATGATATTTAAAAAATATTTGGCATCCCCATTCTTTATTCATAACTGTAAAAAATGTTTCGGGAGTCTTTGAAAAGTGGTTTTAAGTGGTCGTTATTACTAAAATAAAATAAAAAAAAAAAAAATTATATACTTGAGCCATTATCGGCGACTTCTTTACTGTTTCAGAGCTGAGATGCAGAAACAATTCCCATGTCTGGCTCCTAAAGACGATTCGCCATCAGAGACCGTATCTGTCGCGACAGAAAACACCAATGCCAAGGAAGAAAACGCTTGAAGAGACTCCAAATCAACAAGATGAATTTATAAAACTTCGCACGAAACTGAGGGGACAGGAGATACAGCGACTTGACATTTTCACATCCTGCGTCGCTGACTGGTGTAAATACTTTGGAAATAAACAGTGACTCACACTTCCTTCTGAGTATCTATTCATTGTGCCATCTCGCAGTGCAAGAAATAATTTTTCAATGAAGGGTGCAAAACATTTGCGGTTTGCGACACGCAGAACCATACAGGATGGAAGCTCTTAAGGACTCAGCTATATATGAAAAACGGAAATAGCGTCTCGAGCTCTTCTACATAGACGAGGGATTCAATAATCAGTTTGGCTGATTTACGCGATCAGCGGGTAGAGTATTGAATTATTATCGAATGACCTTGATCGGTAAAACCCTATCTTAACGACGTTACTAATCGATTAAAGTCGTTCGTTAACGATTCAAAAATCCAGGCACATGTCTCTACTATTTCTAGCTCAATTCAGGAGCAACGTAAGAGCCATTACTTTCCAGATATGCAGATAGGTAACTTTATGAGAGAGCTGAAAATAGTAGTTTCCAAATGTAATTTCACGGATCAATAGACAGATTAAGAATCAGAGCACTACAAAGAATGTCCCCTCATTAAGAGTTCATATAAAATACATCGGACATTTGGAAATTTCAAATACTAACATTGATTACATCAGAACTAGTAAATTCAAAATTATCAATGTTGAAAAAGGAACACTAAAATCAACGTGGGGTCAAAGTAGCCATTGAAGACAAACTTTTCGTTGGTTATGATATATAAATGAGTTTCACTGCGTTTATCCTTCCTGTACTGTTATGCACAACTCTTGCAAATTGCCAAGAACAAATTCAGCGCACTGCGAACATTGAATGAACAAATCAGTATGTTAAATTGCCCAATTTGACTGGAGAAGATCTTGGTTTTTAGCTAACGGGAGGTTTGAACTTCAAAGCGCACTGAAAACTCAAATGTCTCACTACAAAGTTGGAACTGGAAATTTCCGATTCGCTAATTATGCGCTCTTTGTCAAATTTTGATAAAGAAGCATATTATAGGTATTGTATAGCTTGATTTCTTGGCCTGTTTGGTAGTCCACTACCCACCTCAGTGGTTGAGCAAACGAAATAGTTTGTCTACGAGGAAAAATATTCACACACGTAGAAAATTTAATGTTTAAGAGCCATGACTTAATTCACTTTACCACCTTATCTCGCGACTTTTTCGCTCACTTGAATTTGAAACATCTGAAAAGTAATTCCCGCGATTAGGATTGACTAATAATCGAACCTATTATGCTCTTCTCAACGCCATGTTATAGAAATAGTGAAAATCGAACCTCAAATTCCTGAAGAAGAGATGCCAGATTGTGCTCTAAAGCAATAACTTTTACTGAACCATCATTCGTGAATTCGAGAATGAGTCTTCGCAGTAGCAGTGGCCGCCAAGAAAAATTGGGATTAATCCTCAAAGGATCGTAAAAAAGTAAATTTGAAAGGAAGAAGAATAATATGTAAACAATTTTTAAAAAAATAACCTCCCAATTTACGAATTTTAATACCTTTTTCTCAAAAATTTTTATAGGCACGTTATTTTCTCCAAATGTTTAACAAGTGTTGTATCTATTTTAGTTTTATTTTGAAATTCATATGAAAATTGATTGAATTTAATTAGTTTTTTGTCTTTACTTGATTTTAATGACGATTTTTTGCTGAGCGTCTTATATGAAAAGGTTATTAAAAGTTATTAAAAAATTATATAAAACTCAGAATTTTTTTACCTGATTATGTGTGAGAAGAGGGTATCTTAATTCGTAAGTACCCAAATTTTTTTTATTTTATTTAATTCATCACTAAGCCATTGCTAGTAGGACTGGATCAAATCTGCAGTTATATGGCATTATGAAGCAGAAAACTTTTGAAAAACAACGGTTTGTACAGTCATCAAGTCGAGTCAAGCAACTCATGTTTTCCTACAGTTCATAGTTGACGCCGGTTTGGCTGAGGAACCGTAAAGTAATACATTTTGGAAAAAGCCACGTAAGGGACTTTTCTGGTCCATTTTATCAATAAAACATTCGGAGGTTGATAGCCTTTTGTTTGAAGTGAAGCTCATAATTTCAGAGTCGTGGTTTTTTTTTCAAAACCAATAAGCTGAAAAATCTCTCGATGAGCTATTCGACTCGTATTTTTACTGTTTTACTTCAACCTCTCGTCCTGCCACGCTAATCTGAGGAAAAACTATGATTGGGAATTCAGTAAGTAATTGCATTTCAGATTTTTGGGGGTGGTATCTGGATTCTCTGCCGCTGATATTCACGTATTCTAATGAAATGTTTAAACATACATTGTGAGTGACCATCTTATACTGGAGAGAAGAAACAAGAGAAAAAAAATTATTGAATGTGTTGCATCAAACCCTAATCTCCTCTACTGCTAACAAATAAATAAGGATTTATTTTCTTAATGTAAAAGGACTGCAGTATTAAACATGTGTTTATAATTTATCATTTCCATCATCAGGCAAGTGTCTGCCGACTGATACAATAAAATGTCGAAAAGTAAACGCTTGTTTATTTATGCTTACTTGTTCCTCTTCTTCAATGTCTATTCTAAATCACGCGTCAGCATGACACCACGTGTCATTCACCAACATGGTACTAGGTCATAGAGAGAAAAAAGGAGGTGTTTGCATCTTGAGGATTGTTTGCCCCTGATGTAGGTCGGTACAGGAACAAATCGACTCCTGATATAATTCCAAACACTTTAAACAGAATGGATTTTGTCCATAAACTACACCGTTTTAAAGAAAGTCGATGCATGCGAGTGATTCAATCTCCAGTGCTACTTTATATTTTAGAGATGAATCTACAGGGTGAATCCTCTAAAATTTTACGTTTTCAGCATTGAAAAAGCATAAAGAAATTTTAGGAAAAGTTCAAACAAATTACATACATTTGCTGTAATCATAATGGATGAAAAGTTAGCGGAAATTTTGAAGATACCGCAACCAAGAAATGCCCTTTCTGCGCCCATCGCTTCAATTAGCCCCGTATAAATTGTTTGAGCATTTAAAATTGTTGACTTCTTTTGGAGGGAAGGGGGGGGCAAAAAAAGCCTTTGTAGGCACCAGTGGGCTGATTGCTGAAATTGGTAGACAAAGCGATGGACAAAGAAGACTTAGGGAGTAAAGAACGATCCTATCGGTTGAAAGGGGTGGCTCTTATACTGCCGTGCTAAGGAAAAACGCCGTATGAGCATTCGAGAGTTGTCCAATTTCCTTCGATAAAATGCTTGTTTTTAAGGAAAGTTATAAATGTTTTTCCTTGATTTTGTTAGGTATTTTAGGTAAAATTGCGAAAAAAATCATCTGGAAAATTGGAAGAGAAATATTTGCAAATTTTTCCGAAAATTTGTGATTTACCAAAGAAAATTTGGCAACGCCTGAAATTTCATAAAGCGGGTGTCCTTTGTATAGAATAAGGGAGAAAATTATGGACTAACTAAAGGGTCTCTTGTGGGTTGCTGTTAGTTAGTCTATTACCTACCTCCTTTGTCCATTGCAACCACCCGCTTCCACCAATATTGTCCTCTTTTTCTATAGCTTTGTATATCAATTTCAACGATCAGCCCGCTGTCTTTTGTCAAAGACGCAATCAGGCTCGGACTGGCCATAAGGCCAATCTGCCATTGGCAGATACGCCCCCTTGGCGCGCCGACAACGCGCCCCTCTGACAGATAGCAAAATAAGAAGAGAAAAAAAATTAAAACCGAGAATATGTGCGGAAAATCTCTTAAATAAACCGAAGAAAAGAGAGCTAGGAGTAAAAAAGGTGCTTTTACGCATGATAGTGGTGAACAGAGGTCCAAGAACAACTTTTTGAAGCGTAAACATTTTTTTGTGAAATGTTCACCTTTCTGTTGACATACAGGCGCTTTATCATCCCTATGTATAACTCCCCTAGAAGTGATGGTCGGTTCGATTTTAAGACATACCTTTAAACATATTTCTATGACTATTGATTTGGACAAACAATTGCATATCTCGGGCAAACTTAACCTTCATTTATCTCGAAATTCAAAAATAAGAGACGTCTAAAGTGTAAATGCGGTTTAACTATTCGCGCAAGATGGATGTCCACGTTGCATATGAAAAATGCAAGACGCGATGGCGTCAGTTGTGAGCTCGCAAAGCTCTGCTATATGCTACTAGTTTAGATTAGAGCACCATTACGAATTAGACAAACGCATACTAACACAATATGGAAATAAAGTGAGGGAAAGGATGAGCGCTAACGACGGCGCAAAGATACAACTATTCGTACTTGATGGACGTCCGTGCTGTATCTGAAAAATCGAAGGCGCGTTGACGCGAAGCGTGAGCTCTCAATGCTCTGCTATATGCTGTTAATGAGGTATCGCTCAGATTCGGGAGAAAAGTTAAAAAAGAGACCCGAACACATCCCTCCTACCTTCGGCTATGTTACTCACGTAGTGCTTGAAGCACCATTACGAATTAGACAAGCGCATACAAACACAATATGGAAAAAGAGGGAGGGAAAGGATGCGCATTTACGACGGCGCAGAGGTACAACTATTCGTACTCGATGGACGTCCGTGCTGCATCTGAAAAATTGAAGGCGCGTTGAGGGGAAGTGTGAGCTCTCAATGCTCTGCTATATGCTGTTAAAGAGGTGTCGCTTAGATTCGGGAGAAAAGTTAAAAAAGAGGCCCGAACACATCCCTCCTACCTTCGTAAACGCAAAATTATGCTGCTTTGCCAAAATTTTTTCAACCCCTCTCTTCGTAGGGGATGCCCCACCAGGAAATATCACATTACGCCCCTTAAACCGGCCAAGGGTTTGCGCCCTCAGATGCGAGCCAGCCCGACCCTGGACGCAATTTAGGTATTCTTGACTGGATCGTTTAAGATGGAGTAAGAGACTTGGAGCTGCCAGGTTTTGAGGTCGGTTTGGCATGGGTGTAGGGCTGTTTGCTTTGTGGATCGGCGATTGGAGCAATGATTTCCCAGGAGGACGAATGACCAAATGAGCGCTTGCACGCGCCCCTGTAGCCCCTGATTATCCCACGGGAGCCTCCGCCCGGGCCGTCCAGGCCAGGAATCTTGTCGCAAAGCCCGCAAAGTGACAAGCAAAAGCACACGTTCTCAACAGAGCCATCCTCTGTTTTGGCGGCTCCCGGTGAATTCATCCCACTCTCACTTGAACAAATATTTTCGTCGGTCTACTGTCGCATTCCAGGAATAGAATGAAGAGGCGCATCCGAGCTTTGGACCACTAAACAAGGTACGAATTCAAGCATTCTGATACATGATTCTCGACCAAAATTTTACGTAGGACACGATTTGCGCAACGAAAATTACTGAAATTAACTCCTAACCAATATACATGGGTTGTCTCAAAAGTACTGCACGTGTTTTTTTTTTTTTTTTTTTTTTTTTTTTTTTTTTTTTTTTTTTTTTTTGTGAGGGGGGACGAACGGTAGCAGATATCAAAATGCGGTTTGTGTAGTCTTTAAGATCGAGCAATTACCAATAAAACAAAACAAATTTGAGCTCTCTAAGTCTAAAAATGCGACCAAGTTACAATGTTTTGAAAATGACTTGTAGAGGTGACCCCTCCAGGATTTTTAGCTTCTCTGGAAAAAAAAACAAAGATTTGATTAATCAAAAATTCTGCAGAGAAATCGTCACGATCGAATGATGTTGGCAACATAGTATCAGCTGATGTGAAATGTAAGCGTTGGCATAGTAACTGATGACAGGAATGAAGATAAACCCATGATAAACCTAATCAACCTAGGCCAATCAAGTTAAACACACCACAACAACAACAACAACAACAACAACAACAACAACAACAACAACAACAACAACAACGACGACAACAACAACAACAACAACAACAACAACAACAACAACAACAACAACAACAACAACCTGTCCGCACATGTCGACAGATTCAGTTCGACTTGTCAATCGTGTACTTGAGGTTCGCCGGAGACTTCCGATAAAAAGTGTTCTCACTTTCAGGCAGGCCCGCCACAAGGGGGGGGGGATACTGGGTCCTTGGTACCGGGGCCCGTGACGCAGGTGACAAACCACTACGAATTCATGTGTAACCCTTGTCTCGTAGGGAAAAGTGAAAAAATTACCCTAAAAATTCCGCAAAAGGTGAATAAAGTTTCAAAAACACGCTAGGGCACCATAAAATTTTTCTTAATTTTTTAGAGATTTTCAAGATTTTGAGTATATATAGAATGATATTTTTAGTAACTGTGTTTCATTTTCCTCCGTTGTCGGATGCTAAGAGGCTCCTTTCTGGGCATCCTCGACTTCAATGGCTTAACTCCCTTGCCATAGACGTACGAAAGGGGAGTCCAGGGGGCCCCGGCTCCTCATAGAATTGAAAAGTATCATCTGCCCCCTCAAAAAAAAATTTATAGATGTTTTGAATGCAACAATTCGAAAGTTTTTGGTGCTGAAAGTAAACAAAAAAGCGTAATTATTCTGCAGAAATTGATGGAAAATCTCCATCATAAGAGCTTCATAATGCGTCCAAATAGATTTAAAATTTCAAAAATTTCCCGGGGGAGGCCCCCTGGACCCCCCCCTGTGCTAGGGGCCCGGGCCAGAAAATTGGTACCAGGGCCCGAGATGGGATGTGGCGGGCCTGCTTTCAGGCTAAGTCTCCTTCTCTGGGTCTCCTTTCCTTTCCAGGCTTTAAGTGTAACATCCCTTGATAGTCTTCCATACTGGTGCCTTTCGGCGTAATTTCGTCAGATGGAATTCTTTATCATTGAAGTCATGATTGCTTTGACTATTTTGGTAATCCCCACCCAGGGGCGGACTGGCCATGGGGGCGGGGAGGCGATCGCCCCCTAACAATTTGCCGCGGAGGTCCGAAAGGGCCCCCGCTGCGAATTTTTTTCGAGTCATCGTTTTTTTCCCGTAATGTTGTAATTTTCTTATCCTTTTCAATTACGAAAAGGCCCCGAATTCCTTCCTGTAGTTTCGACCGTTAATCCCGTAGTTTAAGGGCGCGAAAGCCAGGGCTGTATTTCGCAAAGGATAGTTTTTGCTGAATAATTAAAAATTAAAGAGCAGGAGTAATTTAACTATATAATAAAAGGAACTCAAATCTACAATAAAAAGCAAGAAATTTTGCAAAATCTTGTCATGTAAATACATAAGATTCGTAAACGCCTTCTTAATTGAAGCGTGATACCTCACGCGTTCGGGAGAGTTAAAATAGTTGTATCCCTGCGCCTTACCATGCGATGGAAGTTTAATATTGAAGTAGCGTCCCCGCTTGGTTTTTTGGCTTTCCTGTGCCGCTACTACAGTTTCGACCGTTAAGGCCGTCGTTTAAGGGCGCGAAAGCCAGGATTGTATTTTGCAAAAAGAAAATTTTACCAGAATAATTAAAAATTAAGCAGTAGGAGTAATTTAACTAAATTATAAAAGGATCTCAAATCTACAATATAATGCAAACAAATTTGCAAAATCTCGTCATGTAAATACATAAGATTCGTAAACGCCTTCAA